GCGCAATCTCAGCTAACTGCAAACTCCACCTCCCAGATTCAAGTGATTCTCCGGCCTCAGCCTCCCAAGTAGCTGGGATTACAGGCATGTACCACCACGCCCGCCTAATTTTGTATTTTATTTTATTTTATTTTATTTTTGAGATGGAGTCTCACTCTGTCAGCAGGCTGGAGTGCAGTGGCACAATCTCAGCTCACTGTAACTTCTACTTCCTGGGTTCAAGCGATTCTCCTCCCTCAGTCTCCTGGGTAGCTGGGACTACAGGCGTGTACCACCACGCCCAGCTAATTTTTGTATTTTTAGTAGAGACAGGGTTTCACCATGTTGGCCAGAATGGTCTTCATCTCCTGATGTCATGATCCGCCCACCTTGGCCTCCCAAACTGCTGGGATTACAGGCTTGAGCTACCGTGCCTAGCCTTGATTTTGTATTTTTAGGCTGGTCTCGAACTCCCAACCTCAGATGATCCACCCACCTCGGCCTCCCAAATTGCTGGGATTAGAGGCATGAGCCACTGTGCCCAGCCCCCTGACCTACTTCTAATCACAGTCCTAGGAGAAGGTTGAGCTCTTCATCCATAAATCATCTATTTTTTTTTTTTTTTTTTAGGACAGAGTTTCATTCCTGTTGTCCAGGCTGGAGTGTAATGGCACAATCTCGGCTCACCACAACCTCTGCCTCCCGGGTTCAAGCGATTCTCTTGCCTCAGCCTCCTGAGTAGCTGGGATTACAGGTGTGCAGCATCATGCCTGGCTAATTTTTGCATTTTTAGTACAGACAGTGTTTCACCATGTTAGCCAGGCTGGTCTCTAACTCCTGACCTCAGGTGATCCACCCGCCCCGGGTGCTGGGATTACAGGGTGAGCCACCACACCTGGCCATAAATCATCTCTTTAACAAGCACTTACTGTGTCCCTCCTGTGTCCCACGTGCTGTGTGAGGGACATGCATGGAATAAAACATCCCTGCTTGGAGAAGCTCAAGCTGCAGAAGATATACCTGTAAACAGATACTGACTTCACACACTGATAGTCATCTAACCAGAATCAACAGAGGGCAAAACCTAGATAGGTTTCTCAGAAGAGGAGGAATTTATAAAACAGATCTTGTAGAAGGCAAGTGCCTTGTTATGCAGAGAAGATGAGGCATAGGATCACAGAGGAACCAGGGAGCAAGCAGCATGTGTAAAGGGACCTACCAGCCCTCTCCAAACCTTCTTCTCCAGGTTCACTCTGTCAGGCACCAAGATCACCACGGACCCAGCTCCACAAACTGGAACCTTCTACAACTCTTGCTTCCAGTTAATCACTGAGTCTGTCCAGTCTCCTTCCAAATCTCTCAGACACTCCCCCTTCTTTCCTCTATCCTTACTCCCATCACCGCAGCCCAATGCCATTTCTCTCTGGCTCCTGCAACGGCCTCCAAACTAACATCTGTTTATTTTTGTTCCATGTAAATCCACTTCACACAGAGCATCCAGACTGATCCTTTGTTAAAGGGGAAGAAAAGGAAAAACAATGTGATGCTCTCATCATCCTGCTTAAGCCCTTTGGCAGCTCCAGTGCCTTCAAGATTAAGCTGAAACTTCCTAACAGGATTTACAAAGCCCTTGGTGGGCTGGCCCCTGCTCACCTCTCTAACCTCATCTCTGATCTCCACTTCCAGCTTTGATGTGCTTCAGTTCCTGACACAGTGGCTTATAACCCTGGTTGCCCATAAGAACCACCCGGGGAGCTTTAAGAAATACTGATACCGGCCGGGCGCGGTGGCTCAAGCCTGTAATTCCAGCACTTTGGGAGGCCGAGACGGGCGGACCACGAGCTCAGGAGATCGAGACCATCCTGGCTAACACGGTGAAACCCCGTCTCTACTAAAAATACAAAAAAATAAGCCGGGTGAGGTGGCGGGCGCCTGTAGTCCCAGCTGCTCGGGAGGCTGAGGCAGGAGAATTGCGCGAACCCAGGAGGCGGAGCTTGCAGTGAGCGGAGATCTGGCCACTGCACTCCAGCCTGGGCGACAGAGCGAGACTCCGTCTCAAAAAAAAAAAAAAAAAAAACAAGAAATACTGATACCAAGGCCCCACTCCGAGAGATTCAGATTTACTCAAAGGGCATTAGGATGCTGTAAAGCCTCCATGAGATACCAATTTGCAGCCAGGGTTGAGAACATTACTTTAGCCTGACATGTCTCTGTCTCATGTCCAGGTTTGTTGCACATGACCTGTCTGTTCCTAGAAGCACTGGAGCTCTCCTAGTTTCTGGGCCATAAAGGCAGAGACTTTTTGGTCTCTCTTGTTCACTGCTGTAGTCCCAACACCTAGAAAAGTGCCTAGAACATAGTGAGTACTCCATAAATATCTGCAGAAAGAAAGAATGAACACGTGACTCTGCTTTCACCCTTCACCTGGATAGACGCCACTCAATTCTCTTTTTTTTTTTTTGGACCGCACTCAGTCATGAGGACCCAGCTTAGATTTCCCAAAAGATACTCCTGATTCTCCTTGTCTGAGATAGGTTACTCTGCATAATTTCAGCACTCAAGATTTCCATTCTAGTGTAAATCACACCACATTGTAATTATCTGTATCTCTTAGCTTCTGAGCTCTGAGGGAGTCCCGTCTGTGTGTTCACCAATATACCTGCACCATCTGGCAAAGTGCCTTAAAAAGTGCAGCACGAATACATGGAAGTGAACAGACATGGTGTGCTGGGTGACAGCCGACCTTGGTGTGGCTGGAGTAGGGCGCTGGTGGGACATGAGGCTGGTGAGGTACACCATGGACCAGATGGAAGAGGCCCAGCATTCACACTAAGGAGTCTGAACAGTATGAGACAATAGAGAGCCAGCAGAGGTTTTAAGTGATGCAATCGGCTTGCATTTTAGGGCAATAACTGGCTGCCGTATAGAGAACTGGAGAATTCAGGGAAGCCCAAGGGTAACGAGACCAGATGGGAAACTATAACAACAGCCCCGGGAGGAGAAGATGAGAAAGGAGTCAAACCTGAAGAGAGGGAGCCAGACCAGAGAGACAGAGATCAGAGAGCATTAACAGTATCTGTCAACTGGGTAGACCAGTGAGAGAGAAGGAGGTGCTATGGTTGACTCTGATCCCCCATTTGGAAGACTATGGATGTGGTGTCATGAGCATGATCAGATGCAGTCTCATGATTACACAGGCAGTGTCAGAAGCTTGAACTCAGGAGCCAGACTGCCTCCATTCAAATCTTAGCTCTAGTTGCTTCTTGGCCTTTTGGCTAAGATCAAGTACAAATCTTAGCTCCACAACTTAGCTAGCTCTCAGGCCTGGAGAAGTCGGCCTCACTTCAGGTCTTCATCTGTTAAATGAGAATAATAATAGTATCTACATCACAGGGATGTTGTGAAGATTCAATGAGGTAGCACGTAAATAGCCATTTCCTGGCATATAGCAAATGGCACATAAGAGTTAACAGGCTGGGCGCGGTGGCTCATGCCTGTAATCCCAGCA